TGATTGCAGCAGAATAAATGGTGAGCTTTGATATTGGGATCTTTTCATGTTTTGGAAATATCATAGACTTCAGATCATACAATTCCCATCAAGAAAAATTACCTGCAAACTTTTAGGAGACACAAATAACTCAAGGAATTTAAAAGGATGTGGAGCCACCTTAGGAAGTGAGATTTGATGGGCTGAGGGAGTTCAACTTTGATTCTGTGTTGGGTTCTTGATGTCAGTGGGTCATTTATTGTTGTTTTTGATGAAAATACTTAAGGAACATGTAAATGTTAGTGGTTTTTGGTCTTTTTTTTTTTTAATAGTTGGCAATATATTGTATTTCTTTTCCATTATCCATTCCTAAAAGCCACTTTTCCAACAATTTGTTCTGCTTTCAATCCAAGTGGCAAAACTGAGCCACTTAATGGTGTCTTCAGTGCCAACAGAGCAGACTTGTCATGTTGATATTCTTGACCTGTGTGAGATAGGTAGTTAAGAATAGAACATGTTGCAATAGTTAGATGTAAAGAAAATGAGAACTGAAGGGCTTTTCAGTGACTTGCTCTCAGGGAAAGCCATTGCTTTTGAAGTAAATCCACTGATGCTTCTTTTGCTTGAAGCGCTTTGCTTTGGATTGTTTTCTGGACTGCTCAAACACTGAAACATGCTTCCCAGTGTAGAAACTGCATTCTTTGTTAGTAACTTCATTTAAGTCTGAGGAGGGGGTAAATTTTATACGTCTTACTTTCTTCTTGACTAAATAGCTTTTAATATATTAAGATACAGGTTTTTTTTCAGCACAGATCTATGCTCTTCGTAATTTACTTAAGCCGAACTTAAATATGTTGCAAGCAGCCAGCTATTTAAATGTGTGTAGTAAATAAATACAGCATTCAGGCAAAATCTTCAGCTTCAAGTATTTTCAAAGAAAATTAGCTGGTTTTAAGAATGCCGTATTGGGAAATGCAGTAAAGCATTTTTTTAAATGCAAGTTAGGAATAACCGGGGAAGTGAAGAAGAAGGGACTTAAGCCAAATTGCAAATTAGTTCTCCATTCAATACTAATGAGTTGAAATAAATAGCTTATTCAACTCCCTGCTGCTGTACGTTGTATTTATAATACACAAAATGTTCCTTAGACTTATTTATTTTTCTCCTCCTAAGAGTCCTGATTTTATTACTTATAAAGCGTTACAGCAGCTGCTTTATATCCTTGTTAATACAAGTGCAGGTATACATTTTTAAGCTATCTGTGGATCAGTCCCGTTTTCTGAAATGCAGAAGAAAAAGAACTATATTTTTTATGTTGTTGTTCTCAAATTGGAGTATCCTTTGAAATGCATGGAAGAAAATTTGTGTTTGCCTCCATCTTTTGCATGTCACTCTTCCAGTCACTGTGAATATTTATGACGTTTATTTCCTTTACTGCCTTGATCCTTCTTCTAGCATAAAAAGAGGACCAAAAATATACATTTGAAAATTATTGACCAGGGATGAGTCTAGTTAATACTGGTGTTCTGATCTTTTTGGCTTGTAGTAATCCCTAATAGGCATTTTAATTTCTTTTCTTTCTTTTCATTCTGTTTTTCTTTCATGGCTTAAGAAAACTTTCTGAGTGTTAATGATGAAAGAATATGTGTGTGTGTGTGTATGTATGTATATATTAAAAAATAGGTATTACTAGAAAATATAAGTAAGTGTGCTAGTTTTCAGATGTAATGCTTTCCTGTGCATTAACTTCCCCATGATCATTGGAGGTCATTGACAACTTGACTGCTTATAGCAATTGCATTCGTTTAAATTTAAGTTTAAATCTCCCAGTGTATGTTAGCGGTGAATGCATTTTCAGACAACTTTCACACCAAGGTAACTTGTGAACTCAGGGTAAAAAAAAAAAAAAAAAATTCATAAATACACTAAACAAATTTTTTTTTTTTAATTTAATAGATAATTTAATCGAAGTTTTTACAGTGCATTTTAAACCTTGTATTCAGGGTAACTGACGAACCTATGTATTTATATATGTGAACTATATCTCTGTATTCACGTGTTGTAAACAGCCTGTGCATCCATAGCTGGTCTATATCATGTTTTACAAAGCATAGTTAGCATAGTCATTGTGAGGTTTGGTTTCATTACTCTTTGAGCCAGTTGCAGTTGGCTTCTGTTTCATCTATACACTTACAGTAAACTACCAGTTATCTCACTCTGTGAATTTAATAGCATGCTAAGGTCCTACTTCCCAAACTACTATCGTATTCTACTAGCCACTTCAATTCTTCCACTTCTTCACAGTGTGGCTGTCTTCCTAAAAAGACAGGATACTTTTTGATATGTATTTGTTTCGATGTTTATCTTAACAGCCAAGGGGAATTCCCATATTTAATGTGAAATTAGCTGACTTTTATTCTTGGTAGTGTTTCTGGAGGGTGAGGATGGTCTTAATGTCAGAGAGCCATGGGACAGTACAGGACTATTTTATGTCTGAAAATCTTTTTGAATTTGTTGGATTTTTGAGAACAGATGTCTCTTTCTTTATTAGGGAATGAATTGAACCTTGTGTGCAAAGTTTTCATCTTGTTCTCGCTAATCAGGCATTGAGATATGTAACTTGATTTTTTTTTTTTTTTTTTTTTTTAATTAAAAAGTTTCATAAAGTTATTTAAGATATCTCAATTTGACCATCAAACGCTGCGGCCATGTCAGAAAAATAGGGCCATTTGATGCCGAATAGTTTTTAGTTGGTGCACCAGATCTTTTCTGGGACGCAGTCCCTGAACTCCAGCATGATGTCTTGGCATTTCTTTCAGCTATACCAGTGCTCCAAAATTTGCAGATTTATGTAATTCATTTTTATGCACATTTAATTTTCCTTCTCTGCCTTTCTTCTTCTTTAAATGAGGTGTGAAAGGGAAGAGTCTTTCATACATATGACTTACGTGGAGACTGTACTTTCTCACATTTTATTCTTATTCTAACTCAAGGACGATAGGGAAGTGATTGTTACAATCCATCTATTTCATGTTGTGATATTTTATAATAATCAAGTCTAATACATTTTCTTACTGACGATATATGACTGAACGTTTTCTTGTTTCTAGTTATGAAGCAAATACTGCAGTACAGTAGAGCACAACGGAAAAATTCTTCCTGTGTAGGTGGAATGCTCTTGCAAACGGACTCTAATCCTAATTCTGAAGGGGGGGGGGAAAGGAACAAAAAGCAAACAAGAAAAAGAATGGTCTTCAGATCATTAAAACTGATTAAGTTATAATATTTAACAGGTAAATAATTTGGTATTAAAACAGGGAGAAGATCAAACTCTGGTTGTATGTTGGAAAGGAATAAATACCTGCAATGGAAATATATATCTTTAAAGAAAAAAATATATACTGATTCATCTCAGAGCACAGTGTTCTGCAGAAGAGGCAGGGTTAAATGGTTCCTGGGTACTGTGTCATTACTTGGAGAATTCCGCTGTAATAAAGAGCTATTCATGTGCAGTTTTCAAAGGCCTTACCTAGTACCCATTTTTAAGGATACACTGTGCATATTTTAAAGGGAATAATTATACCAAACTGGTTTAGGTCTAAAATGTTTTATCAGTGCAGAGAAGAGAAACAAGTTTCTGATTATTCAGGTATTGATATTATGAATTAAAAAATCTGATTTTGATTTCCTTTTCAATTTGTGGTCGAAAGTGGCTTTCATTCACTTCATTGCTGGTGCGTTGCTGAGGTACGTAGTTTAGGACTGGGTTCTCTAAAAGCAGAGGAGGGAGAGGTGTATCTGAGTGCTTGAGGATGGGTTGAAGCCTATCTCTGCATTACAGCCTGTGCTCGTTCACCAAGGAAAGCAACTTTTTCTTGGTTTGTTACTTATGAAGAGCTTGGCTGTAATGTGAAAAGGTAACTTCTGGAAACATGGAACTTTTTTTTTTCACTAAGTATATTTCAGTGATTTTGTGAATGGGCATTTTTGGAGGTCTTGTGAAAGTTTGGATTGCAAAACTGTGACGTGGGAAAATAAAATAATTAAACTGTTTGGTTTTGTAAAGAAATTCTGTGTACAGTTTATGCCATCTTTTTTTTTTTTTTTTTTTTAAATGAAAATGTTCATAAAATACAGATATGATAGGTGTCTTTGAATGTTTTTTTTTTGCCAGCTAAAATAAAAATGTATTTTCAGTCCTTTAAAATATGCTAACGGGACAATGAAATATAAAGCAACAATTGAGAGCCAGTATTGCAATTTTTGCAATAAAATATTCAGATCTTACATGATTTTCTGTTATCCAATGCTAGAAATTAGTTTATGAAATATCATCACAATACACTAAAAATGAAAATATCTCCCAAGTACTGTTTATTAGTGGCCTGTATGAGAAAAAGAGAGCCAGTAATCTTCTAATACTGCAAATATTTAGCTAGATGCTTAATTGCGTTCTCTGAATTGTCCCATTGAAGTAACCAGAGTCACTTCATCTGTAAAATTGAGCATAAGACTCTAGCACAGAAACACTGGGGACTTCCCATTGATTTCAGTGCCCAGGGGAAAGTTAACAGACTGAAGAGATTTTAATTTAGAAAAGCATTTGAATGGGTAGCTGCAATTTTAAAGATGCAGGGGCTTATCCAGAGATCTTACCTCGCTGAATACAGTGGAGGCTGTGAAGTAAAATTTAGGTCTGTGAATGTTTACTTCCTAGAATTTGTTGGCTTGTAATGTGCTATAGAAATTGCAAGTTGTTAACCATCTGAAAATATTTTTTTTCCTCTATTATTCTTTCTTTTTTTAAAATTGAAATTCCATGTCAGTCACAAAAAATCAATCTTTTATATTTTCTCATTCCTGTTAAGTAGATATAAGCTCTTCAGCACAGAAACGGTAAAGTTTACTTGCAGAAATTCTAAACTGAAAGAAGCAAAATCACAACAGCTAAATTTGCATACTTATGTCTTTATGCCCTCTATTTTAATGTAAATCATCTTCTCTTGTTTTCATAACTACAGGACTATACCTTGACAATGTACTTTCAGCAAGCATGGAGAGATAAGAGGCTGTCATATAATGTAATACCTCTAAACCTTACTCTGGACAATAGAGTAGCTGATCAGCTATGGGTTCCTGATACCTATTTCCTGAATGACAAGAAGTCATTTGTACATGGTGTCACTGTGAAGAACAGAATGATCCGCTTGCATCCAGATGGGACGGTCTTGTATGGACTAAGGTCAGTGCGAACCATTTCTGACTCCTCATTTTTAGTCTTTTAATTGTGGCTTCAAATTTATGATTTGTTTGCCTTATTTATTGCTGTTCTTTGCATTGCTATGTTCTGTAAAACTGCTGATATTCCAGAAACTATTTTAAATATTTAAAGAATGGATGAAGATTTTTAAAATAAAATTTGGATTATAAATGAACTTCGATTTTTAGTACAGTTCTAAAATATTTGCTTTAAGAACACATAAGACTATAAATACTATTGTAAATACACATTCTGGATTAAACGCTGTTCTTAGAACTGCATCCTCAAAGGAATTGAAATAACAATTATAAGGAGAGGATTGGTGGAGAAAAAGGAAAATGTATGTCTGAATTGGTTGTTTAATTAAATGATATATTTTATAAACAATGTTAATTAAACATTTAATTGGTTTGTATGTTACTGTCATGAAAATCAGCTTTCTCATTTATGCTAATATAATGTTTGACTTGAAATGTCATTCACTCACGAAACTAGGCTGAATGGCTATATACTCATTAAATAAATTTTTAATGACTGCAGAAATAAACAAAAGAACTTTTGGAGGTTTGAAAAGTGGAACCTCTTTTGTAGCATTCATAGAAAAAAGAAAACAATTCCCTTGGGAGATTTATATATATTCCTGCAAAAGATGACTGACTTAATATGGTGTAGTATGTAACAAAGCAGAAAATGCTGACTGGCTTAAAAACAAAAAACAAAAAACAAACAAAAACAAAAACAAACGAAAACCCTGCAGAACTTCAGTCTGGAAGGTTTGATGTTTTCATGTTGAGGAAAAGATAGAATGTGAATTTGAGGGGATGTGAATTCTAAAAGCTTTCTTTACTACATTTATCTTCTTGTGAGATTTTTCTACTCTGCCTGTAACTCAAGTCAAGGAAGAGGTGCTTTTATGTTGATTATTTTTTTCCCTAATGTAAAGGAAAGCAGCACACAGTTGTATGTATTTATTTCTGTCACTTGTACAGGGAATTTGATTCTACACTAGGAAAGGAACTGGGTTTCTTGATTCCCTTGTAAATTCCTTAAGTGAATTGTCTGTAATTTTAACTAAACAAGGTAAGGGCCAGATTCTGTTTTCTTTACTCATGCAACTAGTTCAGTTGGCAGTCCAAGGGAATTCACCACAGAACTAGTGCTTCTGTTACTTCTAATCTATAAACTGAAGACCAGGACTCCCTTTGTGGCATGAAACAAACTGTACAATTCCTCTGCCTCAGTTGTTCCATTTATTAAATTGAAATAGTAAAACCTACCTTCTCACAAGGGTGTTGTGAAGATTAATTAGTTTGTGAAGTGCTTTGATCTCATAAAACACGGTGTAAGTGCTAAGAATTATTATGAAGAATTATAAATTGTCAACCTTGATATGCACTGTGGGATGGTAGCTGTTTTATAGATACAAATCTACTCTGCTGTCCTTAGAATCACTGTTGCACTTTTTCTATGTGGCAAGACATTGACAAAATGAGCCAATTTGGGGAAAGATGCAATTTTTGGAATAAAAAGGGAGACCGCTGACTGTCTTAAGGATCTTTCTTCTACGTAGGACTCAAAGATTGGAGATGCATTTTTCTTCAGAACACCTCTATCCACAGCAGGAGAGTGGGTAGTTGCATTTTAAATACCTCCCCTATCCGAAAGAAAACAAAGATATCTTTTACTTCAGTTCCTTTATGAGATCTTAAGTATAGGATAAGTATTCAAGAGGATCTTTTGCTTCTGTTTTATATGAATAGCTGTTAAATCATTAGTATGTGAATAATTAATTCAATTAAGCTTAATAGGAAAAAGGCTTTAAGTCACAGGAATCTTTTCCATTAAAAGCCCTATTATCCAAGATTATTACATTGCAATCGAGTGAAAAAAATTCAGAGCTTTATTGCCTAACAGGCAAACTGTGGCATTTACTCTATTAACAAGAAAATCTCTATCAGCTAAAGAACCATGTAATAGTTTAAGTTGCTCTGAGGATATTGCATAGATGCATTCCAAAAACAAGTAAGGGTCATCAAACACTTAATCTTAAATTGAAATTTAACTTTTAACATAACTGAGAATTACAGCAACATAAATCTATCTGATTTTTCTTCTGTAACGTATTCTATTGAATTGGTTTTGCTGATACTTGAAGATTCTGAAAAAGGAAATTTTTGTTTAGGAAAGATATTCATAAAGTTTTATTGCAGAATGCTGTGATAGAGCCTCAGCTAATGAGATGAATGCTAAATGTGTACTTAGAGTTGCTATACATAGACTTAGATATATGTTTATATAATGTATATGTGGACTGTATGTAGATATAGATTATATAAATTTCTATTAGCATATTTTTAAAAGTCAAAATTTGAATTCTGAGATGGGTGTTGGGACTGGATCATAACGTATTAAGAGTGAAGCTTTAAGGCCTTGCGTGTGGAAGGAAAATGAGTCCCTTGTTTAGAATTAGAAAAAACTTACCTCCCCTTTCTTACATAGATTTGTTCTTGTGATTCTATAGATAATTTTTCTTTTACATTTTGATGAGCATTACAGTAAAATTTTGGAAACTACTTAAATGAATTGATTTTCTATTTTTCTGATAAGTGTTTTAAGAAGCTGCAAGTACTGGAGGTCCTTGTTTATTTAAGTTATGTCTCCAGGATTTTTTTTTAATTTTTTCCAAAATGTTTTTCTTTGAAAGGGAACAGCTCATTTGTCTGCCTGCTGTTTCAACTTGTTTTGTCATGGAGTTTTATAGAACGGTGAAGACAGTTTTTGAGAAATAATTTTTTAAACTCCTGAAATCTGGCTGTTATTTTTTAATTGAAAAGTCCAGGTGGTTTCTGTATCTCTTGGGACTAGATACATATTTTTAGATTCCTCCACAAATGTAAATTTCATTTGGCTTTCAATGTGCAAAGTACTTGAGGGAAGCTTTTCCTGGACCAATATGCGGTCCTGCTTAGATATGGAGAAATCGGATACTGCAAGAAATTCTGCTCTTGTGATATTTCCAGATAAGTTCTCCAGACTGTGTAAACAATTCAGAGGAGTGTTTTTAAGCATGCTTATTCTTGGTTGTTATGTTAGCCTTTTAGGCTGCAATGCAGGCATTTGCTGTAGCCGTTTAGTTTGCACACATTTCCTTCTGAGTAGGCATCCCTAGAATAGTCTCTGCTTCTATTAGCCTAGAACCATGTAATTCAAGGAGAGAGAAAACAGAAAAGTTTGGAAAAACATTGTTTTAAATTCAGTTGATTGTGCCATCTGTACGAGCAGATGGGAAAAATGTCTCAGGGCTGGAGGGAGACTACAAGATCAAATCACAGAGAAAGAACTTACACACAGGCATGCTCAATGTCAGAACTGAAAGGACCTCAGCAGTTAGTGCAGTGACCTGACCTGCAGCCTGGCCCCTCACAGATTGCTGGCTTTATAGTGGGTGACGTTTCAAGGGGGCATCATCTGTATCCTGTGGATCTCCATGACTTGTAGTCTGCAAAAGCTCTCAGTTCTGAAACAGAAAAGAACAAATGTTCATGTCCCCAAATTTTTCTCACATGTGAACTGTAAACCCAGATTTAGCACTTGATGGGGATGGTTTGGCAGAGCGTGTCATCCTCCGAGCTAATTTCTTAATTGGGTGATCGTTAATTATAGACTATAGAATATACCAACCAGGCTGTCTCCGCTGAGACTGCTTTTAAAAATCAGACACTTCAAAATATTTGTTCCAAGCTTTGTCTTTAAAAGTGAAAGGTATTTAGAGGCATATGGCCTTTTAAAAGACTTTCAGATTAATGTAAAAAATCAACTACTTCTCTGGAAGCCTTCTGCAGGGTAACATCCACTGCTGCACTGTCAGTTGTACTGTAGAAAGTGTTGCATGACTGCGTGTTGCCTATTTAAAACATTTATTGAAAAAGTGTTCAAAAGTTACTGAAAAACATTACAGTGCTTTCTCTTCAGCATCAGAACAGAAAAAAAACCCAAAAACACAGGGTTGAATAGCTGCTAGGGAAATGCTTTTGAGGTGTGTTTCATGTACATTACCCAAAACTGATGCAATATGGCTAGGACCAAAATGTTCTGGTTTGCAGTCTTCCCTCTCATGGACTTTCTCAGGACTCTTGAACTGTAAAAATTAGTAGCAAGCATTCTTGATACAAGATCACAAGTTAAAGCCGTTTGCCTTTGGATTTTGGGGGTTCAAATGTACTCTAATAAATGTAGTTAGTCTGTAAACCATTAAGGTCTGTTTTATCTTTCTGGAAAAAAAAAAAAAAGAAAGTAATTTACTGTTGCAAAGTAGTTTTTAATTGTTTTAAAATCTGTTTCATTGAAGTGTATTGTATGTGGATAAAGAAGAGACATTAGGACTGACGTAAAGGGTGGAGTCTTCTCTGACTCTTTACTCGGTTTGACTTAGGATAAGATGATTTCCTTCTCATGGGACAGAATGTCAATTAAGAACCACCATGTGTTTCGGTGTGGGAGAGACAGCATTACTTACAACATTACTTATTGGCTTGTTAAGATAAATGGCTAACATTAAGCCAATGTATCTGATACTGCAAAGAAAGAAAGATTCCGAAGTTCTAAATGCTTCTGCTTATATGGGAAAGTAACATAACATTAATTTACCATGAACATGAGGTTTATCACAATCTACTTTGTAGTTTTTTTTTTTTTTAACCAAGATATTACAAATTTCAAGCAATGAAAAATACTTGAAGAGAGCTTATAAACTGCCAACATTATGATGACTACAGAGTGTTTTATATAGTTTGTCGAGGATGTAAATAATTGATACACCTTGCTGCTAAGCGCCATTCTTTCAGAGATAGACTGTATGTTTCTTTCATTTTATCATCGTCTCTCATTATCTCTCTATCTACTCCATCTGGTTCTGTATGCAAAAAAATAGAGATGGCAATGAGTGCACAATCTGGGAAATAAGACCCAGGCAAGGAGGCACT